AACTTTATTTTTTCTTGCTTTCCAACCACTTTTTAAAAAATTTTATCATGATAATTATATTTTATCATATATCAGAAAATGTGAATATTATGTATGATATATGGCTCATTCTTCATTAAGATATACCTTTGATTTCTGTTCATTGTGCCTCTTCATGAAGTATAAGAAAACTTTGCCTACAAAATAGTTGTATAACCTTGATTAGATGCCCTCAAGTTATTTTTTACATAGCTTTTTTCTCCCTCAGAAATAAGCTGTTTAGGCACAGACATTTGTCATGTCTGTTTCATGTGTCTATCCCATAAAATAGTCGAGAGTAGAACATACAGTAGATTTTCACTTGATCCATTGTTAGCTGAATGAACTAATGCCAACAGGACCCCATGCTGGTGTAAGACATTGGTGTAAGACATTTTAGCTTCAACATTTCTTTCTCACAACCTGGGAAACTAAGCTTGAATAATACCAGAATGCTCCATAATCTTCTAAACTAAGTTTAAGTATATTTTTCATGACATATTTTAATAGAAAGGTAAAATTCTCTAAGTCATTTTTCCTTCTTGATTCTATCCTCCCTTGATTCATTCAGGAAACAGTTTATTTGCTTTTTAACTTTAACATTATGTGAGACACACACTTAATTAAAAACACATGGAAAATATTTAACTTACAGGTGATAAGTTTAAAATTGAGGAACAGTAAGCTTTCTTTTGGGCTTATTAAAATAACCACAAAAAATGATTAAAATTGTGACCTTTAGTGCGGATGAGTGGGCACCTTTACAAGCAGGTAAAACTCAGCACCTTTCTGGAAAGAAAATAAGAAGTATTTCGGAGGTGTTAGTTTTAGTTTAATAGCAAAAATTGGAAATGATCTAAGTATTCAACAGTTTGGAACAAATTAAATAAATGATCAAACATGACTTTGGTAGGTGATAATTAGGTAAACTATTCATGAAGACAATCATGAATACTATGTGAAAACAAATGTGTGATATAAAAATAATAAAAAATCAGAATGTCAAACTTTGTAATCAGCTTGCGAATGCTTAAAAATATGTAAGCATACATTAAAAAAAACTAGAAGGAGACAGGAAAAATGAAAACAGTTGTGATAGGGCAGTGGGATTACGGGCGCAATATTTTTTGTTTCCTTTTATGTTAAAAGATTATTTTAACAGTGTATAAAATCAAAGAAAAGAGATCAAGTTTTAGTCCCTCAATGTTCATATATTAAGGAAGATTTTATACAGATGCCTAAGCAATGTTTCTCTTCCTTGCTTCAAAACTCTTGGCATGTATTTCGTGTGGTTCCAGGGGCCTAACCATTTTTATTATTGTTATTCTGGCTACCATGGTTATTCTTTGAAAATCTAAACAGGATTCATATTGTTCCCTGGCAGCATCTCTTGTTTGCATTCTGCCGTGAGTTATGACATTGGTGCATCCTGTTGTAGCGTCTTTGGAGAGAGCAGAGTGGACAGCTCTTCTCCTGGCTGCACAGTAAAATGGTAGACCTCTTTTGGGGTGGACTTTATTTTCCAAGTTCTTATCTTTTGTGATTACAGACGGCCTATCAAAATTTTCCTGTGATAGCCATCATTATTCTAAGTCAACAGTTTTGCCATTTTACTAAGCAAGGTGCAAGAATTACGATTATAATGTAAGTTGATATAGGAAGCAGAATTTCTTCCAGAAAGTTACGATATTCACAACTACAATAATCAAGTATAATAGTAAAACTTTTTTTTTCTCTTCTATTGCAGAAAGACACCATGAGCTTCACATTGCTTTGTTTATCTGATGGGTGTACATAAATCATCTTTATAAGTAACATTTAATTCCAGTTTCTGTACATTCTTTATAAGTGAGGAGTATAAGCCAGTTGCTAATGAAGACAGAAATACTCATCACCTACTCTTTCCCAATTTGTAGATATTCACGCATCTGTTCATTCAGCAATGCATTTTATTGTTAAGAACACAGACTCTTATGCCAGATCCTGAGAGTTCAAATCTTGGCTAGACTTGTGGAAATCTGAAAAAAATTGTTTAGCCTTTCTGTGCCTTAATTGCTTCATCTGTTAAGTAGAGCTAAAGGTAGTACTTACCTCATAGAAATTTGTGATAATTGAGTTAATGAATGTGAAGTTTCTGGCACTTAAAATATTATTTTTAATGCATGTTTTTATACATGTACATGTTTATGTATATTTTTGCCAAGAGCACAAATATTAAAATGGCATAATCCCTGCCTTCCAAGTGACTTAACAACCCATACTCAAAAATCAACTAAGTTTGCTATGAATCTAAAACTAACATAATAGTAAAATCTGTTTTTTCAAATCAACCGAAAAGCAACTTTACTACCATTAGCGGGAGAAGAAAGTTGTCCAATAGCTGGAGCACATTGTAAAGGGCTCTGAGAACATTTTTATTTTTTTTAATTTTTATTTTATTGATTATGCCATTACAGTTGTTCTATTCCCCCCTTCGTTCCCCTCCACCCCCACCATTCCCCCTTTAGTTTATGACCATGTGTCTCAAGTTCTTTAGATTCTATATTTCCCATACTATTCTTGCCCTCCCCCTATTTTCAACCTACCGTCTATGCTACTTATTTTCTCTACCTTCTCCCCCCTTCTCCTCCTCCCACTCCCCTGTTGCTAATCCTCCATGAGATCTTCATTTCTATGTTTCTGCTCCTGATCTAGCTGTTTTTTTAGTTTGCTTTTATTTTAGATGTAGTTGTTAATAACTGTGTGTGTGCTGTCCTTTCACTGTTCATCTTTTTTATCTTCTTTTTCTTAAATAAGTCCCTTTAAGATTTCATTTAATAAGGGCTTGGTGATGATGAACTCCTTGAATTTGATCTTATCTGAGAAGCGCTTTATCTGTCCTTCCATTCTAAATGAAAGTTTTGCTGGATAGAGTAATCTTGGTTGTAGGTCTTTGGATTTCATGACTTGGAATACCTCTTTCCAGCCCCTTCTTGCCTGTAAGGTCTCTTTTGAGAAATTCGCTGACAGTCTGATGGGAACTCCTTTGTAGGTGACTGTTCCCTTATCTCTGGCTGCTTCTAGCATTCTCTCCTTCATTTTAATCTTGGCTAATGTAATTATGATGTGCCTTGGTGTGTTTCTTCTTGGGTCCAACTTCTTTGGGACTCTCTGAGCTTCCTGGATTTCCTGGAAGTCTATTGCCTTTGCCAGATTGGGGAAATTCTCCTTAATCATTTGTTCAAATAAGTTTTCCACTGGTGGCTGTGCCTTTCCCCCTTCTGATACCCCTATAATTCGGATGTTGGGGCATTTAAAGATGTCCTGGAGGTTCCTAAGTCTTTCCTCATTTTTTTGAATTCTTGTTTCTTCATATTTTCCTGTTTGGTCATTTTTTCCTTCCTTCTGGTTCACTCCCTTGATTTGAGTCCCAGTTTCCTCTTCATCACTATTGGTTTCCTGTGCAATTCCCTTCATTTCAATTAGTTTAGCCTTCATATGTTCCTCTAATTTGTGACTAAAATCAACCAGTTCTGTGAGCATCCTGATCACCAGTGTTTTGAACTGTGCATCTGAAAGTTTTGCTATTTCTTCATCACTTAGAGTTATGGGCTCTGGGGCTTTGAGATCTTCTTGAGCCATTTTTGGTCTGTTCATGCCTGTTAAGTATGAGGAGCGGAGTCTTAGGGGCGGAGCAGGGCCACCAGGGCGGGGTCCCTGGGTTGTGACGCTGTATGTGGGGTGGGGTCAGAGAGGGGAAATGGTGGCCCCCTCTGCTGCCTCTTGTCGCTGGGACCCGCTCAGTCCTATCTCACTGACCACTCCCTTGCCGGTCTATCTGCGCAGGAATGCACCACCACAGTCACCCCACCAACTGCACCCTCACCGGATCCACCGGTCTCACCGGATCCACCGGTCACTCACTGGGTTGCTCAGTAGGTCACTCACTGGGTCTGCCCTTTGCAACCCCATGCCTGGGATCCGCATGCCTGAGTCCGTCTGACCGAGTTTTCCTGTGCAACCCTGCTCCGCCAGCTGCTGGTTTCGCCCCTCTTACCGGTCCGGCTGAAGCATTCATTGTTATCAGACTTCTGAAAAGTTCACTTTTCTGTGTTCTGGCTGTGTTTTCTGTTGCTAATATTTTGTTGTCTCTAAACTTGGTTGTGTGAGAAAGCACGGTGTCTCCACCTATGCCTCCATCTTGGCGGAAGTCCTCTGAGAACATTTTTAAATGAACATGAAATTCTAGTTGCCGTAAGCTGGAGTCATATGGAAGCACTGAGAGCCAGAGTATTTCTCTTTCACTTCTGGGCCCTTCAGGGCACTTCCCCTCCTTGGGAAACAAGTGCTGGTTCTGAGTCCACAAAGACTAGTATGTATCACATTCTTGCTGAAACAGAACACTTTCTAACCTAAGGGCCATCAGCTTTTTCCCATGTGCCTATCACTCAATATGACACCAAGAGCCGCAAGTCTGAACATTTTATTCTAATTATCTTTACAGTGAAATTGGAAAGAGAAAACAAAGCCGTTTTTACTTGTGTGTCAAGTGAATTAAGTAGATGTGTGTGTTCTTCAAGATTGAGATTTGGAAATGCTCATTTGATTAAGTTTAATAATATAATGATTTAGTTTATATTTTCCTAAGTAGATGAACTACTTAAAAGGTCTCTACCAAGAGAGTCTTATGTTTTCAGATGCCTTTTATTCATGCAACAAATATTGCCTACCATATACCATGGTAAGTGTTCATTTCATATTGATAAGTTGCTTCCACTTTCTTAATGGAGAAAAGACAGGACAAAGGGACAAAGTAGCCCTGCTTTATCCTCGGTGCCTAGCACATGGAATTTTGAACCAAATGTGCTAACTTGTATTTACAGCAGTGGTCACTTACTTTTCATTTACTTTTAGAGCCTTATTGATGGCCACATCTTCTAATGATCTATGCAATGTACTGATTTTGTCTATTTTATTTAGCCTGATCTATTTTTTATTTTGAGGGTGAACCCGGGGTGCCTGGAGCAGTGGGGCAGCACGGAATGCCAGGGCCAAAGGTCAGTACAAATAAAAGTAGGCAGCAGCATTTGATACAGGAGTTTTCATGGAATTGTAGCTATTCCAGTTTTTTAAATATCCCACTGATTTTACCTGCATAGAATTTCTTATAATAGTATAATATGCTTCAGTGCAGAACTTTGTGACAAATGAATAAATTATGTTTGTGTTTCTTGTTAGCATCACAAATGCAGGATATGACTGGCTAAAACCTACATTCTGGGATATTTAAACATGAAAAAGCCCATATTTCAAATATGACTCTTATGACTTGCCACTTAATATGAGCATATTAAAATATGGGCCATGTCCATGTGGTCTAAAATTTGCATAATATCCACATAACGTACGAAAGGTGATGTTCACAGTGCTACTCAGTGTGGCTTTTCCTCAAGATGTGGCTGCTGCCTCTAGCACTTACACAACATAACCAGTTAATCAGAGAGAGAGAGAGCGGAATAAAGATGTGGCATGTTTAAAATGTAAAAATGGATGTAGTCAATTACTACACAGAGAAAAAACTGTAATAAAGGTTATTTTTTTTGGATTGCAAGTTTTCTTTGTTTCTTAAAGACAAATGAATCTGTTAAATATAAAGATTGGTGACAGTTTAGTTTAAACCAAATGGGCAGACAAATCCCAAATCCTTTGATGAGTGAACATCCCTTGAAGTACAAAACTAACGTCTAATCCTGTCAGCTGTGCTGGCATTTGTCCACACCCACAGATGCCTGTCAGCTGATCTTCCAGATCACACTGCTATTGACAGGCGCCTAGGATGGACCTAAAATTTGTAGACCTGTCCTTTGTCCTGTAGGGGAGCAAAGAAAATACTCCTTCTGGTACTACAGCCACTCTTCTGTCTTTTTCCTGTCCTGCTCTGTGTTGAAAGGCCAAATGATAGGAGTTCATGCTTACTGCCTGTTCTCAGTGCTATTCTTCTGTTGCCTAGTGACCCTCAGGATGGATATTGAGCACTGAAAGGTAGCCAGAAACTCAGAAAGCCCAGTGAATGAGGAGTCTTGCCTCTGAACTGACTTCTAGAGTGGGATATAATTTTTCAAGGTACAATAATTGTCTTACAACATTTTTTAGGTAGTTGATCTCATGACAACACTTACTTGTGCCTTTTAGAAAGGGAATATTATCATAATGTGTATAATTTGCTTTAGAACCCTCCCACTCTATCCCTTGTTTGTTCCTCAGTGAAGTGAAAGTGAGATTCACTTCAGAGCACAATGTTTCATTTTAGTCCTCACACAGACTGGGTCATCGTTTTGAGTAAAGGCATTCTCCTAAACTCACTCTGATTCTGCCATTCTAGCGTTTTTGCTGAAAGTACCAGTGCCTCCCAAAATACACCCAATTTGGAACTTGCTGGTTATCAGTAGGTTAAAGAGAGTCCATGACATTGTGAAGGGCTCCAAGTTCAGGACTGTGTTTGTGGTCATGTTAGGGGAAAACAGATTGGGGAACAACATGGAGACTCTGAACCCCTGAAACAACCCATGCACCAGGGGCTGCTTTGAATAAAGACCTCGTGGAAGGATGTGCTGATCCACCTTACTGTTCTGAGTTTGGGCAGAATGCAAAGTCTTAGACTAAGAAACCGCCCAAGACATTAAATTGCTACCACATTGTTCTCCTTAGAGCCCCAAAATCCAGTTTCAGGATGTTACTTTCAAATACCTTTCTTTAGTCCTTTAAAAGCAAAGAATTATGATTACATTTGATATTGATATCCATATCCAATTCTACAGGAAACTCACCATTTGTTTTTATATAGCAACTATATATTGCCCCTCCCTCAAAAAGGTCATACGATTTATCTGCTATGTTTCATATCTAATTTTGTTTGGCATTGCTTAATTAGATGTATTACAATTTAATATGTCACCCAATCTTGATTCTTTTGACCAGGGAGAACCTGGAGAAAGAGGAGAAAAGGTGAGAATTATTCTGCCTACATTTATCTTTTTTCCCCAAAAGATATGTATATAAGTGTGGATAGATGGATTTAGATATAGATATATAGATATAATGACCACCGTTGTTGTTCTTGTAAGTTTAATTAGTGGAAGGAGAAATTCTTCTGTACAGATAGAAGTTTTTTTAAAAGTTCAAAGAAAGAGAGAGGAAAGGAGCAAGTTTAAACATTCTGTGTCTGGATTTTAAATGGCTTTCAGAACGCGCCAGGCCTGCAGAATTTCTGCTCTCCCCGCTTGCTAACGCCACTTCAGTGCTTTTCTAAGCATCCACGTCTCTCCGCTGCTTCTTAGGTCACTGAGTTAAAGGGATACAGATGTTTACTGCAGTGAATATACTGAGAGTTGCCCGCAAAGAATTCCCATAAAAACCAAAAAGAGAGACAAAAAAAGAAGAGAGCCATATGTTAAATTTCTCTTAGCCAGCCTTCCTTACTACCTTTGGGCATGTCCTGATTACTTTTAGACTTCCAGTGCATTCTTTAGTGCTAACTTTCCTGGTTCTCGTGCTACTTAATAGTGTGTAAGGAATGTGCTGTCTGCATAGGAAACTTCCAAGATACTACATAATGCTCTTCATAAGTGATCCGATCTTTCTGACAATTCAGTATTATCACCTCTAATCCCAAGAGAAATACATCTAAAGATCCAGCAAACGTATTGAATATAACTGTAATTTGGGGCATTGAAAAACAAAAAGGAAAAGGGCCTTTACTTCCATGGAAGGAGAGCAAATCAGAGGGGCAGTCAGACCCTTTGTTTCCTGACCACTCTGAGCAGTTTCCCTAATGAGAAAGTTTGGGGTGTTTTTTAGCTTAATTATTATTTTTTATTCATCAGCCAGTAAGTAGTTGTTTATTAATAACATCATGATAGCTCGCCACAGAAAAATATTATTCCTGATCCACTATGAAATCAGTATAGACAATTGGCATAAAGTAGAACACTAGAAAGTTGGTACTTAGTTTTTTAATAAATGAATTTCTAAGCACTTAAGAAAAAAGCATGCTGCCAAATTCCTATCAAAGATTATAACATTATCAGTACTTTTACTCATAACAGATTATCAGTGCTTTTACTTGGCACCCAACCAGTTCATGGTAATTAACTTTAAATTAATTAGTCCCCAGATGACTCTTTGATGTGGACACTAAGGAGGAGAAGGGGACTGCTCGGGTGAAGAGGCTCAGGCTTCTGGGCTGCTGCCGGGCGTCCTCACAGAGACGGCCGCCTCGGGTGGCTTCATGCTTATGAAACAAGAAAAGAAAATAGAGAGAAAGAAGAGAGTGTCTTCCTACCTCACCCTCCTCCTCTCAGGGCAACGGCTCTCAATAGTTCCTTCTTTTATCTTAAGGAAATTTTTAAGTGAGTGAAAAGTGACCTCTGATGAAGGAGACAGAAGGGCGTGGCAGCTCAGGGAATACAAGAACAGTAATGCACCGTTGTTGCTAACAGCTCTCAGTTACAGCTGATGTGTCAAATACTACCGTCCTCATTGCTTTATACTCGATATATTGTTTACTTCTTATGACCCCATAAAGCATTCTTGCCCTCATGTTACATGTGAAAAATAGGATGCAAAGAAAATTTCACTTGCCCAGTAGGTGCTAGAGCTAGGCTTGGTTTCTCTGGCTCCAAATCAATGATCTGTCCACCATAACATGCTCTGAAACTTAAAGAATTCAGAATTTAAGGAAGCAAAGTACAGGTCATAAACATGGGTAATTTTTCTAAGGCGTTGCTTTGTGGGAAAAAGGAGATGTTATTAAGGGAATAAGCAAAGGAAATATTGAAAATAACCAAGGAAACATATAAACTCCCCAGTGTATGATTTTTGAAAAGCAGTTTTCTAATAAAATATAAAGCATTCATTTCACAAATGCAAACCATGCAGGTACAGATACTCAGGGCACAGGTTTGGAGGGCTGGGTCGTGTACTTTGAGGCCCTGGAGATTTGAGATGGGCCTGAAGACCTGAGTAGGATCTATACAGATCAAAGGGAAAGGAAAAAGCAGGGGTCCAGGTGGCAGGAAAGGACCCAGAGGTGCCAAGCCATGTGGCGTATTGAGGGAATGGACAGGAAAAAGTCTTCGTTATAGCGGAGCTCTGAGCAGAGGAGAAAAGAGATAGAGTTAAGGAGGCTGTGGTTGCCAGGATAAGCTATTAGGTATCAGATAAATTGCTGCTTTCCATTAATATCATGGAGTAGTTTAAACCTGGTCAACCATGTTCGTTGTAATAAAATGTATTTGGACAGGTGATCTCAGGCAGCTGGTCAAGTAAAAGAACATGAGCTTTGTACAACACTTGCAACAGATTTTGACATAGCGCTTATGAAAGAAAACTTAAAACTCTTTGCACAATATAGTTTATACATATGTCTTTTTTCCTGTCTTAGGGAGATGCCGGCGAGAGTGGCCCCAAAGGTGATGCAGGTGAAAAGGTACAGTGTCACGAAGTATGTTACAAAGGGTATGTGTATGCGCACGAAATAGTGCTCTGTATATACGAACATGGGGGATGTTGAGAGGGGTGAGTGAATGGTAGTAGCTTTGTTCAACTAGAAAAGAGATCATTCTGCAAGCTGAGAAGACATTTAAATGTTTAATTTATAAAAGGTGATTATTCCACAAGCTCCTACGGACAGATTTAATTATTTTAAACACACAATGGCATGTTACGAATTTTAGGAAATGTATAGGTAGTTTCCTAGTAATGTGCCTTTCAAGGAGTGAGATGTTCATGTGTAAATGACACACTCCCTTTCTGTGCACAGGTGCACACATGGAATCTCTAAAGTGATGCTGTTTGTCCCCGTGTTAGGAGAGAACACGTCAGAGGGCAGGGGCGAGATTTAAAAGTTTAAAAGTAAATGCCACTTGACCGGATTCTCAGACACACTCTTGAAGATGTGCCTCAGTTTGAAGTCTACTAAGTCCAAATATTTTGTCATCCCTTGTTCTGTCATTATTTTTTACCTTTTAGCCCGTTATTTATACTTCAGCCGTCCTGTGGCCCCTCTTCCCGCCCCTTCTCTTTCCCAGCCCTACCGTGACGGCCTGTGCTGCCGTTCCCACTGCAGGCATCTCTGACATGGGAAGGGTGTTTTCTTCCCCTTGTGCTCTCTGTTAAGAATGAAAAAAAAGGACTTTTAAGAAACTGAAAATAGAATACTCAGTCATATTTTAATTTAAATCAACCTAAGTAATTGAGTAGTGAAAAAAAACTGAGTTACTCATTTAGGCTTAGAGTTCAGAATAAGGATCTTCCACTTTGAAAATTATTGTAGTACAGATGGATAATGGTTAATCATAAAAAACATAGCCATAAAATAAAGAGACATTTTATCTTTCTCATTCTTATAAATATTAATATAAGTATGGCATGGTGGTAGGAATGAATTAACATTGCCAAGTAGCAGCGGTGTTTGTATCCAAGGAGCAGCAGGAAGGTCAGGTGGACCCTCGGTCTCCTGCGGACCACGTGCCCGGCCTCAGCACCGCGGACACGTAGGACCAGGTCCCTGCAGTGGGGGCTGGTGGGCGTCCATCATTGCTCCCGGCCTCTGCCCTCTGCACGCCAGTGGCACCCTTGAGTTGTCACAACTAAACCCGTCTCAAGACATTGCCAAATGTCCCCCGAGGAACAAAATCAGAGGAGGGCGTCCCCCAGTTGAGAACCACTGCTGTAGACCCATTCTATTTACCTGCCTAATATAAGTACCACACTGAGATCAAATATGGCATGAATGTGTTTAATACTAATGAGAACAATATGCCTCACTTACTCTCAGAGTCAAAATGTCAGACCCCAGATATATAAACCTGGATATTTAACGTTCCTTATTTTTCTTGGAAGCAGAAGTTAACAAACCTTTCTCTTAAAGGGCCAGAAGATAAATATTTTAGGCTGTGAGGACCATACGGTCTGTGTCACAGCCACCCAACTCTGTCATCACAGCGGGACAGCGCCCGTAGACCAGGCACACACACAAACAAGTGTGGCTGTGCGCTGTCAAACTTTGTCTTGCAGTGCTGAAATTTTAATTCTGTGTAATGTTCATGTGTCATGAAATATTGTTGATGTTTCTTAACCATGTAAGATATAAAAGCCATGCTTAGCTCACGGGCAACACAGAAACTGCGGGCAGCTGACTCGTGACTCGGCCCGTGGACCATAGTTGCCAACCTCGGCTAAAGGAAAGGAAGTCTTCTACACAGAGAGCAGTTTCTTCAAGTTATACATGTATGTGTGTGTATAGATGTATATGTGTGTGTATATATATGTATATACATACACACACATATACATATACAAATGTGAAGTCTGAACCACACCTATGTGAACTTATGTAGAGAATTTTATGCTTCAGAAGATGTATGTTTTTTTAATATATTTTATTGATTATGCCATTACAGTTGTTCTATTCCCCCCCTTCATTCCCCTCCACCCTGCACACCCCCTCCCCCACCATTCCCCCCTCCCTTTAGTTTATGTCCACGTGTCTCAAGTTCTTTAGATTCTATATTTCCCATACTATTCTTGCCCTCCCCCTATCTATTTTCTACCTACCATCTATGCTACTTATTCTCTATACCTTCTCCCCCCTTCTCCTCCTCCCACTCCCCTGTTGCTAACCCTCCATGTGATCATTTCTATGGTTCTGCTCCTGATCTAGCTGTCCTCTTAGTTTGCTTTTGTTTTAGGTGTGGTTGTTAATAACTGTGAGTTTGCTGTCCTTTTACTGTTCATCTTTTTATCTTCTTTTTCTTAGATCAGTCCCTTTAACATTTCATATAATAAGGGCTCGGTGATGATGAACTCCTTGAACTCGACCTTATCTAAGAAGCACTTTATCTGTCCTTCCATTCTAATTTAAAGCTTTGCTGGATAGAGCAGAAGATGTATTTTTAAAGCTTTATTTTTGGAATGTAGGCCAGTAATTGTTTCTTTTTAATCACACATTTTAAATTTTTAACTTTCCAATAGTAAAGTAACTTTTTTCTTTTACAAGACCAAGTTCATCTCAGAGGGATACTGTTCTTATTTCTTTACATTAATGCAAATCATTTACCATACTGACTCACACATAGTAAACCCTCAATAAATGTTAGCTTTCTTACCACATGGAAATTGAAATCAACTGGATTCGTTGTTTTCCTTTTTTATCAAAAATTTTATTAGTCAACTGAAATTAAGCACAAGAAATGCTTCAGTTAAAGCGGAAATCATTTCTATAAACTTTCAATGGGCCTAAACAGGGAATTGTAAATAGGAATCTGCAGCATATAATATGTAACCCGACCTGCAGCATTCATCCCCGGGAATGCTGTAATTGGGATATAATTTTTGATGTGTTTTTTAAAACATTTCCTGCTTCTGTCACATAATTTGTTTCCAGCATGTTGGAAATGCTCTTCTCGTGGCCTTCGGGTTGAGTATGTGAAAGTAACTCATCATTTACCAAGTTTGAGATGTAAAAATCAAAAAATGCTTCTTTTCTGTTGATGATATAGTAAAAATTACATCATTGACCGATCCAATTTAATAGGATTTTTTTTCCTTTTGATGCAACCCGGTGCCTTTGAATGGTAAAGCAATCTAGGCCTTTCCAGACTGGTCATCTGGAAACGCTGCACAGCCGTAAAAACCACTGGCCAGTGAGAACGGTGCAGCTGAGGGTTCAGAATGGCCTTCCAGGAACTGCTCTCAGTCACGGATGGAGTTACTGTGGAAGGGTTACGTTCTGCTCTTTGGAGTGTTGACCCCACCAAGTGCAGAAATGGATTTCTTATCTGTTTCCCTCACTCGAAAATAGATGTTCGTGCAGCACACTCGGTAGTTTGGATAGGCTACTTTTTCATTTATAATTTTATCTGTTGATTGAGAAGCTTCACCTTCACTTTCTTGGTGTTACTTGTCTGTGCCTTCATTTTCTTTGCTCTCCCATCTTCATTCCTATGAATACACTGCCTTCTTAGTTTATGGTTACAGAACACCTTCGATTTACACCCTCTGAGCCTCTGCAGAAGCCACACCCACATGTGGAACCACCAAGCACATTATCTTCTTAAAGTTGCAGGTGAAGGGCTGTCAGTGGGCGCTTTCACCCCAGTCAGTGCAGAGTCCTCTCTAACCTACACATGTGGTTCCTTGAGTTTAGAACACTCTCGCTCCACCCACCGCCACCTTCTAACCCTGTTCTGTAGTGAACTGAAACCTGATTTTATGCTGTTTCCCTGGAACAGCCTTTCAGTCTTCTCGGAATTGGTTACGTTACCTGCATTATTCTCCCACAGCCCTCCTCACGAGCCCTTTCATAACCTGTATCACGATTTATTATAATTCTTTATTTAATTGGACCTTCAGCTCACTGAAAAAGAACAAAACAAAAACACTGTATGATACCAAACTGTTATATTTCTAGTACCCGTCCAGGTTCCTGGAAGACAACAAATATTTATTAAATGAAAAATCATTACATTTTTTCTTTTTACTTTCAACTGTTTCTTATTTTCACTGGATGGTGTAACTTCCTCCTGTACCATGCACATGCTCATCATGTCTTCTGTGTACGTACAATGACACAGAATTTCCAAAACATGAGAATCTCTTCCTGTCCCAGGTTTTTCTTAATGAAAAGAAAGTATCATTCATGCTTTCAGTCAGTAATACTTTTGTATACATGTATAAGTAAATGATTATCATATGCACAGGATGAGGGCAGGATTACAGCTACATTGTTTGCTGTTGTCTTCCAGCCCTTAGTACCCCTGCATTCAGAATATGGCTGGTACTCAGTAAATACTTATTGAACAAATTAGTGAATGATAGAAATATGGCCACATGCACTTTATATATTGACATAGACTTTATTAACACATTCATATGAGGCCTGTTCAAAAAGTTTCTGGCTATGTCATATGAAAAATAGAGACATTTATTGAAGAAGATACAAGATACAGGAAACATTGTACATAGGACAATGATACCCTAGTCCCCATTAAAGTAGCCACCTTGGGACCTCCCACAGTTCTCCTAATTGCCATCAGCTGCCCCATTGTGTTTCCTGAATATCATCAACAGTCTGAAATATCTTCCCTTTCAATGGCGATTTACTTTTGGGAAAAGCCAGAAGTTGCAGGGAGCCAAATCTAAGCTGTAGGAGGGCTGAGTTACCTGGGTGATTTGATGTTTCACCAAAAACTCTGTAGGAGAAGGGATGCATGAGTGGTCATATTGTTGTGATAAAGCTGCCAGTCACCAGTTGGCCATAGGTATGTCCTTCTGAATCATATGAATAGTTTCCACAGAGAAATGTTCAAGCTTCACGCAAAATTTGATGCAGATTCATTGCTGTACTTGCTCAGTCATTATGAATGTGATGGCCACACAGTGCACATGCTCACCCAACAGTGTCTACCGCCCGCACTGACTACTACAGTGAAGTCGTCATTGTTCACACATGCGCATTCCAGTCCACTCTCCTGGGCTGCCAGGTTACATTGATGGCATGCAAACTGTTCTCATTATGTTAACAATGGTTGGACTTTTTTCGTTCAGACCTCATAGTATAATTATACTCCAAGCTTTGTGTTTGAAAATGATCACAACTAAAAACAGGAGTTGCTGTGCTTGAATGATAAATAGTAAAGTCAAATTCATTTACCTCAAGTATCTTCTCAAAGTATTTTTCCCCATTTATGATTTACCCTGTGAAAACTTTTATTTCCAAACCAGCTGATTTATGCAGCCAAGAGTATACTTAAGACACTGTGACTTTTTTCCTACTTTAATCCTGTATTCATTTTCACTGTTTGCAGAATGGGAATTATAAACACTGACTTTTATTTCCACTTCTTGCAGCATTATCCTTTAATATGTTTAACTTATGAATGCCTTCCAGCAGTTGCTTTTCCACTTAAAAGTTATAAAAATTCTTTGAGATTTCACAGTTCTAATTTTTAAAAAAGAGAATTAAAATATCACTCATAGTTGTCCATCAAATGGCTCCAATGCACAAACAAACCAGTCTTTCAGGAAACTGTCTTTTTTTGCCACCCACTTTCTATGAGAATTGAATCTAGTCTTTATTCTCATTAGTGGATTATCTAGCCAGTGTCTGTTAAAACACTGAAAAAACATTTTTAAGCCACAGTTAATACAAGCAACTGCCTTTATTTATAATTTTACTGCAATCATTATGTCCTGTTGTCAAAATGAAATAAACCAACAATTCTTTTCTTATGACAAAAGAGTCTAGGGAGTCCAAAATTCACTTAACCTCTAGTTGCTTCAATTTCCTCATCTCTTAGATGAAAACAGTAGTATCTGCCCTAACTCTTGGGAGGTTTGTGAGGTATAAATGAGATGAAAGAAGGGACTTAGCCAAGTTAAAATTGCTTCTACGAGTACAAAGGTCTTATTGTGCAAAATCTTGCAAACTTCATTCATTGGTGTCTATGGCTTTCAGACTTAATTCAGTAGAAGTAGTTAGAAGTATTATCTTGTTAGTCATATTTATTTTACTTCTCATGTGGAACTGGATTGTAAATGCCTGGGGAGAGAAATAAGGGTCATTCTGCAATATTTTTGGTCTTCTTCTTCATGTCTCATTATGTTTTAATTTTTCCTTGTATAATAATAATTACAGATGTCAGAGTAACTTACATATACATCAGTTTCTTCATAAGCTAATTTATTATTTCCTTATCTTTCCTAAGCTTTTTATTTTCTTATAAAGTTTTGTTTTTAAATTTTGATCCTTCTAACTTGCTTAAAACATTCTTTTTGAGATTTGTTCATTCACCGTATTCATATGTATCAAGAATATACTACAGGCGAGGCACTGAATAAAAATAGACACTGAGCCCTGGCTGGTATGGTTTGGTGGACTGAGTGCTGGCCTGTGAACCGCTAGGGTGCTGGTTCAATTCCCAGTCAGGGAACATGCCTGGGTAGCAGGCCAGATGCCCAGTTGTGGGTATGTGAGAGGCAACCGATCAATGTATCTTGCACATTGATGTCTCTCCTCCTCTCTTTCTTCATTCCTTCCCCTCTCTCTAAAAATAAGTAAATAAAATCTTTTATAAAATGATTCAGTGCTCACCATCCATAAACAAAAAAAATATGCATCGAGTGTGATTGTCTCCTGGATGGACACACAAAGAATAGGCAGAAAACATAAATAAATGCATAATTACATAGTAAGCTATGCTGCACAGCGCAATGTGTGTATGAGGGTCATGTGTCTACCTTGGTTGTTTGGTGGAGGGTTCATGTGAGACAAAGCCACTCAGTCCAGATCTGAAGAAAGAGGAGGTACCAGCCATAGGAAGAGGTGACGGGGGAAAGAATCAAGGGATGGAGACAGAGACTCCATGTACGGAAGCCTGAGGCCTTATGTCTCTCTAAATGAGACTGATGAGCAGCTTTCTAAATCCAGAACAAGGAAACAGATCCCAGGAGCTGCTTGAGCACTTGTACAGATGTGACAGCCCAGGAGATCCCAGCAGAAGATGCTTCCTCCTTGTGCCTATTTCTGTTTTCTTGATGGTTTAAAAAAACTCACTGTTCTCCCTTTATGTTCATGGGATGGAGACCTGGCAGGGGCTTGCAAATGCTGGCCTTTTGCTGGCCTGATTTTAGAAAAAAAAAAGCAGCATTCTCAACTATCCCACACTCTTTCCCACTTGGCCCTATTTACTCGTATATAACACATTTGCTCTCAAAAATGTAGCCAGCCTCTATGAAATGTGGATGGAATACAGTGCCTCTTAGAAAACCAGATTCTATCTCAAGATTTTCTCTCAGACTTCACATGCATCCCCATCACCCACAAGTCATTCATCATCCTGTAACCTTCCGGTGACTGTGTTACAATGAAATAAGTGTGAAGCTCGAGAAAACGCGCGGGCCATAGCCAGGACAGTGCTTCACAAGGAACACAAGCTGGCCGCTGCGTGGCTTTTTCCAGCTCAGCATCGTTAACCCTTGACTTCATCTGTTGAACTCTGACTTTCTGAAGAATGAAAGGGTCAGGGAACCCCCACTAAATGATAGCCGCTGACATTAATAAATTCCAGAAACAGAGAAAACCACAATTCCAGATCCCCAAATTATAACTTACTGCTTTAGAACCCAATTTTAGCAGTATATAAAGGGAAGGGTCCATATTTATGTATTTGTATTTATTTCAGAGACTATAATAGTCCTTACGTATTTTACTTTCAAAGTAAACCCATGTTTTTAGAAAATATATTGTTTATCTTGGAAATTGTTCACATCTTAACAGCTGACAGATTGATACACAGTCTTAGGGAGACTAGTTAAGCCCATTAGTCATGGGGTTCCCTTGAGTGCCCCTGATGATAATGACTGTCTGTGTGTTTGAGTGTTTCCTATTTCTACAATTTGTGGAATAATCTCTCATGGGTTTCATTTTAGGGGGACCCTGGATCATCTGCTGCTGGAATTAAGGTAACTCTAGCCTTGCAAGAGTTTGTACCCCAGGAGATACAGTTTTGTTTTTCATAAGCCTCTGCTTTCTCTTCCCTTTTACCAACTTTGAGGGTTATGACTCTATTCCTGTTCTCTTGCAATTATCAGCTTCCAAACACAATAGGAAGTAGCTGCTGGAAATCTGATAAAGGCTTAAATAAGAGGTCTTGCTACTCTTCCCTTTCTGATTGGTTTTTATGGAAATGTGCATTATTATGTGAGCTTAAGGTATATTCACAGCAAAAATAATTTCTTTTGATGTGTCTAATGCGACAGAGAGTAACAGAAGAAAGTAAATAAAATATATGTGCTGGAGGAGCCTGGGCCATCTCCGTGAGAATGTCCAGAGGCCTAAGGGTTTTGGAAAATTCTTGTAAGACTAACCTTTTCATCTTTGGTTTCTTTGGCCAGGGAGAACCTGGGGAATCTGGTCGTCCAGGGCAAAAGGTAACATCTGTATTTCAGTGTGGCCTTGGCACTGCCTCATATTCACCGGTGTAATATGAAAGCGACTGTTGCAAAATGATGTCGTTTCCCTGCTTTGCATGCTGGGTGTTGTTGACTGTTTTGCGTTTTCAAAGGGATGATGCTGACCATAACAAAAGTGAAAACACACTCTGCACATAAAAGGATGCTGCCAACTAAAATCTGCATGTACTGAGCTGTCCGAGGCTAACAAAGCCTGGTTGGATTGAATGCAATGACTTATCTTGCATGTTTAAAGATACTCTGCATGCTTCTGTCTTTCATGAGAAGAAATGAATACTTACTAAATGGTCTCAGTAGGAAGGATGGGCAGTTCTTTTAAAACTATATTCCTTTTCCTTTCACGGAAAGTACTTCCCTGCTGATGATTTTTCTGCAAATAATATCTATAGGTGCAGTGAATGTTGAGTCATACAAGGAGGTTTATTCAAAAAGTGAAATTTAATTACAGATACTAGCCAAACCACTCTAACTGATCTATAGATACATATATAAATTTATTTTTATTGTTTGTGTTTCTCTTCAATGATAAATTGGAGGACACGCAGTGCATATGTTTAGATTTGTGTTCTCCTTTGAGTCTGAGGCAGGAAACAACTGTTCTCGCTGGTGCATCTGGATATCGATGCCCGGTGCAGTCGGATTTGAGATAACAGCTGTATTGTAGCTAACAAATCGATGTGCATTCCACGTTAGGTTAAATCTCGGAAGATCATGACCCTGCCTGTGTCCAGCAGTAGCTGATGTTTTAGGGAAGAAAATGAATAGAAACATAGACTTTACCTCATTAGTGGACAGGGAAAGAGAGACTCTATTCCCTTGTCATAGTTTGGAACCATAAAACATGATAAAATATAGTTGCCACATTCTCGAAGTCATTGCGAGGATCATTACTTTGTTTTGTACACTTGGGATTAAAGTAACTTTAAGGTCTTTCACATTCTTTAAATATTTCTCTAATTTAAAAATAGGTTTTCTTCTTGAAACTAAGACTCTAAGAATAATAATTTATCAGGACCAGTTTCAGGCAAAGTTGAGACTTTTCCAGCAAGTACAGCAGAAAGCTAAACATTTTGCTCTTTAACTCCTAAGATTTCCTGCTGATTCTTTACTTGAAAACTTGAAATTGGTGATATCATCATCCTACCAGAAATCAATGGTCTGCTTTGGTTTGAAAAAACAACTAATCTCAGATGATCTAATTTCAGGTCCCTTAGTAAAAATTAAAGGCTGAATTTAAGCTGCTTTTCAATTCTGGGATACTCTAAAAGAAATGCCTGCAAGACTGTCATGTCTTTTTAAAAAACAAAGCGAATCTGCTCTAATCTCACATAGCTCCACTGTTCTTAAAGTGGAGGGTCCAAATTGATTTTCATTTGCTTAATAAAACATTGCTTTAACATGATTATTTAGAAATATACTTTAGATTCATTTCTGGAACTTTGTGGGTTTACACATGGAAGCCTTGAATTTCTTTCATATCTCATTAAACACGTGTTTTAAATTATACTGAGAAAAACTTTACAACCAGTCTGAACATGCACCCTGAAATGAGTGGCATCTTTTCTATGAATATTTAGGGCCGATTCTACCCTCCAAAGCAGTATGACTTTCTTTGTCTCATATCTCGGTTTGGCAATACTTACCCAACACGGATTTAAAAGTGGAGCATGTCATGCTTGCTTGCTTACTTAGATTAGAAAATGACAAACAGAAGTGACTGCAAAATCAATTCAGCAGATCTTTCATGACAGTTTTCTCACCATTGCAAAACTGCGTTGTGGGTTCACTGGCACTTAAGCTCTTGCGTTGGGGACATTCCCAGAAAAGTAGAGGATGAAAACCCTATTGATCAGTTTCCGCTGCCTGGTACTCTGTAGTAGGAAGATTTGTTCTTTAGAGTACCATTCATAATGTAGGAATTATTTCATTAGAGGTTTTTTTCTTTTACAGACTCAACAGTAGAGTGTATGATGAATACATGAGTTAAAGTGCGTATACATGTTTATAAAGTGTGTAGATGTATAAAAGATATTGTTTTTCACCACATAATTCTCCCCTTCCTGACTTCTCCATCATCTTTTAAAAATATTTTAAATTGAAAAAATTTTAATTTTAAACAGTAAAACTGCTCGGTCCCCATTGGAAGGGGCCCTCAGAGTTTTACTCGCCCTAGAAGGACAGAGCGCCGTCACAGGGACAGTGCAGGGAAGCAGAGTTCCGGCTTTGGCAGCAGATTCTCCCCTCGTGTCGGATAAAGAGTGGAAGGGAAAGGAAAGCAGAAGTGTCACATATCTGCGTGAAGTTTAATGTACTTGGATAAGTATCCTTCAAATGGAATAGCAGACTACTTAATTATGACCCAGATCTGACCATGGACTCTGTACAACCAAAAACTCAACTTAGAGAAGCTCCTGAACTGAGGAGTAGGCAAGAATGGAGGAATTACCTGACTTACTATTAATTGGAAGATAAGCCTTCATGGTATAAAGGTAGAAATTTTACATGGGAAGAAATATGTTCTTAAAAATGTCAAGATATAGGTCTTCCACAAAGGATAACATGAAATATTTTGTAAGATTTTATTACATCACCTTTCAAGTTAACATAAATTTGGAAATGTCAAATTTATAAAAATCTAAGAATCTGAAATATTAATTCCTGAAACACTTGTTCATTAATAAGTACATTTGTAGCATATGTACATATGTACATATATCATACTCTATACATATGTACATACATACACACACTCATAGTATAGTGCAGGGAACAACTATTATACATGATCAAAGTCTCTAAGTATTCACTCTACATCACAAAGGGTTCCATAACATCTCATACATTTTTCTCACTGTTGGAAAGTGTCTGTGTGTGTCTGTGTATGCATGTGTATGTCTTGCTTCAATCAGTCACGTGATCTTTCTAATTTAGTCGGAAGGGAGGGTGTGGTGATAACTCCTGCTGGGGAAGGGTTGTGGCCTATGTTTCAAATAGGATGTTCTGAGTGTTAGGGGACTCCTTAAAAACAATACAAAACTATAGATTTGACACTTCTATGTTTACTTTTTTATGGTTGTATATCGACTACAATTTAGTATTTTCCAGAGCCTTATACTTTTTTAAAAGTAAAAGAATCCTCAATAAAGTATAAATGCAATCTCTTTTGACGAAATCTCCCTAAATTGATTGATTGAAGAGAAAAGTAGGAAGAAAAAAAGAAAATCAAAGGTATGATGTTGTCTCTGTATGAAGTTTAATTTAGTTGGACAGATATTATTTGAAAGAAATATCAAATTCTTAGTGATCATCCTTTCTTCTCAGGTTTAATCTCATCTCAGTGTTCTTGTTCACAGTGCCAACTTTCACTGGTAGTTGCAGACAGCATCGCTTTTCTTTTGCATTCCTGAAGCGCCTTTGACTCAAACCGTCAGGAAAGTCATTGTCCTTTCTGCGTCTAACCATACAGCTTAATGAGCAGCATATGAAAGCCACTTAGGGATAATTAATACTAGAGCAAGATATGACTCTTCATAATTTGGAAGAACTAATGTTAAATAATGAATTGTCTGGTTGTCTGCAGTTGATTTTCTTTGAAATGAAGGTTGTTAGAGCATTTAGATGAAAAGAGATGCTTCTGTCTACCACTTTTGTGGTTAGTTGGATGCTCCTGTCTCTTCTCGTATGGCTGTCATCCCACTGACTGACTGTCATGAATATGTGTAGACCTTTTACCTTCCAATGTTACTTCCACAAATAGTCACCTTAGTCCAACACAGGATGGACTTTCATTTTCTCCAGCAATTCCATTATGTTTCTTTAGTGGAATTCAGGAGATTTCCTAAGTAATGTAACCTCTTGTCTCTATACTTTGTACTTAAAATAATGTAGACCATTCTGTGAAAATGAGAAGGTTTATCATGACTCCAGTGTGCTCACCCAGAATGTACCAGTTAATCTCAAACCTGGATTCAGGAACAGCTGCATGGGACCATTAGCCCTAAATTGCTGGGCAGGTTTACCCAGACTCAACAATTGTCAGAAATATGGGCTGGAGTTAAGTATAATATTAACCATGCATTTATCTTCTCATCATTCAGGAATGGAAAAGAAATCTTACCGTACTTTTAAGTGAGCACGACTTTTAATGTATATTGTTTTGATGTAACCATCTGTTCATACAGCCAACTCTTGATTATCTGAGGTAAGAGAGCACTGGACTAGGAGGCATTACTGAGATTCACACATAATCCTCATTTCAGCAAAGAGCTTCAGCCTCCCTAGCAAATCATTTACCAGGAACTAATAAAACAAGGGGGTTCATTCTCCTTTTACTTCTCTTTCTTGCCTTCTGGTAGAAATGCCAATGAGCTGTGAACTGGCAGAAAAAGGGAAAATCCTCAAAAATCTGCAAAATGGTCAACCAATTTCTGAATCAAGAGTTGACTGAACTGCGTAATCTCACCAAAGTTCTTAAAACGAGACAGTATATGTATGTAGATGGCAAGTATTCGACTAGGAGCATTTGCCATGCTTTCTCCAGAGACCGTGTCTGAGTGAATATTGTTCTATAATGTTGTGTGATTTTCCTGTGTAGGGTGAACCAGGGCTTCCTGGGCTTCCTGGACTTCCGGGGATAAAGGTAACTACTGCACTGACAGTCTTGGCTTCATAGAATGGAACTGTAATTGTGAGAGGGGCCAAAACCACAGGAAGACAAGGGGAAAAATGAAAACTAAAAATCTAGCTGTCCTCCTTAAATACTCACCAGCCATCTCAACCAATTAAATTTTTGGATTAAAAATTAAACACAGGTATTTTTCAAAGTTTTCCAATGCTATCTGGACTGTACATTATGCTATGTAACCTAATATGCCCCTTAATTAAGTAAATATAGAAACCACTGCATTTGAAGTCAGGAATTCTTTACAGTCTAGAATGTCTACCTTCACATTTAGCTT